GCGTTGCTGGACTATGTCTCAGGACCTTCGACAAGTCACGCCTAGAGTTAGCACCGCACTTGGGTGCGCGTTCACATCACTATCGTGTGCACGAACGACTGCTGCTTTACAGCGCACTGGACGACGATGTAGATCGCACCGTTGCGCCGAATGATTATGATCTGCGTATGCGGATCATGTATGATTATCACGTTATCCATACGACAGGGCATCCAGACCGTGAGAGAACTTCCTCTTTTCACGAGGGACTTCTACTGGAATCACCAGTACAAGTATGCCCGCAAGTACGTATGTGCTTGCGAAGTGTGCCAACGCGTGAAGTCTGCTGCGCTCTCGCAGGCTCCATTACAATCACTACCGCATTGAGCACGCGATTCTCGGGATCAGTCTGACCGCCCGTCTTCGGATGACCTGCAGTCGACATCGACAATTGTGTTCGCAGAAGTGTAAACACTTCTTGCCATCACTCTACGTGAATGTCATGCGGCATCCACTGTTTCCGAGCTTGCACGGATTGGCGGCTCCCTTCTTAAGTGGAGGGAGGATCAACGGTTGTATCTAGCAGAACACTCATACGGACACGGCATCAGCGGTGACGACGTGAATACAAGCGCCCTCTGTCAGGGAACGAGACTGCGAACAAGGACAATGTGTCTGTGCAGGGCACAGCCACCGCGCATGCTGGGCTTGTTGCGGAGAAAGAAGCCAGACCGGACAAGTTATTCAGCTCGCAAACACAGGACATTGGCCAGCATCGACAAGGTGTTATACAGTTTGTCCAAGATACGATAGCAGTTTCTTTGGACAGACAGGAGCTGAATGCAGATAATGTCGGCAGAAGTAGCAATGAATTCGAAAAAGTTTCGTTAGTTCTGTTAGCTACACATAATCTGCCTAGACATGTAGATTTGAATTTCGGAACAATCACGCCTGCCCCGCGCTTCGCCGATCCGCCCACGGTACTTGAACGGTACGGCAGCGCATATACGTTGGACGTATCGTCCAGCATGCGGCTTATCCGACATTTTAGGTCGGGTGGTTGTAGCCTTATGTGCAACACGAGCCATCTAGCCTTGATGGCTCAAAGAGGACGACGAAGCGGCGCCAGCCAGCTTCTCGAGCACGGCGACACGGTCGAGCAGCCTCATCAGTTTCGTTCCAAGCTCAACTTCGATGTTCAAAGCGATCTGATTTGTGTGGGCGTCTTAGTTGGCGTGCTCATTGCGAATGAGCTCGGAGATTAACGACCTCGTCAATTCTTTGCGTTAAGACTAGTGCGTTTTATTTCAACGGGGGGGGGGAGTAACGAGATTACACTTGGTTACGAAGGGTGCCCACATTGGTGTGGGATATAGCAATGGTTCCATTTAGTAGACAACCGATCTGTATGCATTTAGACATCCAATTGGTAGAATGGCAACATCTTTCTACGAATTACACCAGTAGGATTCTGTCAACCATTCGTTGGCAAATACCTTTCAAAGAAAATATCATTCTTTGGAGGAAGCCCGAGCAAAGACATAAAAAACAGTTCTCATCTTTCCGTAAATCGGTTTTGTTTCCTTATTTAAGTAACTCAATACTTTCGGATGGAAGAATACTTAATCTAAGTAGAACTACTTTGCACTTCCTCGTACACATGCGTACAGGCGTAAGCGGAAGGAACGGACACACAGCAGGACCATCGCAACGTCGGTATCAGTGTTCTGCTAGGTACAACCGTTGATCCTCCCCCCACTTAAGAAGGGAGCCGCCATTCCGTGCAATCTCGGTAACTGTAGATGCCGCATGGCAATCACGTAGAGCGATGTATGCTCTGTCGAGGCATGTACTGAATTGTTGATGGCAATCTTTGCCATCGGCATGCAGTCGCCCTACTGCAGGAACGAGTGTGCGTAGCTCTTCAGAACGTCGCCGAGCACGCGATTCACGCGCTCAGTTTGACCGTTACCCCTAATTGGAGTGATTCCCGTAGCAAGTCTGGACGTTGATTTTGCTACCGAAATCCCGGTCTTTAAAATCGTAAGAATACTGTCCGTCCGTCCGCGCCACCTTGCAACAAAAATCATTGGTTAAAAATATATTTTCACATAAGTACGATGTCCGACTCTTTTGCATGCGGAAAGCGAGCGGACAGCGGCAGGACGTCAACGGCAAGCAGTTAGCGGCGGCGACAAGGACTGCGAGGCTCAATCATGTATGTGTTAATTAATATTATCAACTATCTTTTGAATATCCCGAAACAGAGCCAGAAAGCGGAATTGATACGCCGGGCCAGTTTGGCTATTTGGGATGAGGCACCGATGATGCATGGAGCATGGTTTGAAGCTGTTGACCCAACTTTTAGCGACACCACAAAATATGAAGTCGAGCCGTTTGGGGGGAAGGTCATGGTTTTCAGTGGTGACCACCGCCAAATCCTACCGGTCTTAAAGGATTCTACCAGGGCTGAAACGCTAATGGTGTGTTTCAAAGCGTCTCCCTTATGGCAGCATCTACGCCAGGTGCGTTTGATAGAGAATATGCGCTTGATCCAGATGATGCTGCGGAGTTGGACGAATTTTAGGAGTTCTTACTTTTAAATTGGAGAGGGTCGCCATCCGGTGAATCGCGATATTGACGACAACGACATCTGTATCCCGCAGAACATGTGCGTTACTCCAGTCTCCGGTGGTTCCTTGACTTCTATTCAAGATTCCTCTGATGATGATTCAGAATACGAATCCCCGAACTTCAATTTGCTTCCACCATTGGATCCTGAAGGTGAACGCGAATCGGACGAGCCTGAAGATGATCAGCGCACTCGTAGTATCAACGCGCTGATCGGTGCAATTTACCCCGGGGTGGGTGATGCTGACTTGCCAGATCAGTACTTTGTGGATCGTGCAATTTTGGCGGCAACCAATGCAAGCGTTCGTTGGATCAATGGAATGGCAGCCGAGCGATTGTCTGGAGAGACACGAGAATATCGCTACAACGACAGCCTCGACGGTCTCGGAGATCAGAACCTATTCGACACTGAGGTTTTGAACTCACTCAATTTCTCAGGAATGCCCCTCACAAGGTGGTTCTCAAAGTTGGTACTCCTATCATTATGATTCGGAATCTAAATAGCGACGAAGGTTTGTGCAACGGAACGCGTCTGCGAGTGGTATCTTTGCGAGAGAAATGCATTGACCCGACTATAATGTCTGGCCCTCGACGTGGACAACGCGTGTTTATCCCTTTCTGAGCGGTGACGAGGCTAATGAATTTCCGTTTATCCTTCGACGCAAGCTGTTCCCGGTCGTACCAGCGTGTGCGATGACAAGGCGCAAGGTCAATCAATTCACCACGTAGGTATCTACCTGGAATCGCCTGTGTTCGTACACGGATAGCTATACGTTGCCCTATCTCGAGTAACATCCAGAAACGCGATCAAGATAGCCATTGATCAGAGAGACTTTGTTGACGGCGCGGCGCACACCAAAAACATGGTGTACAGAGAGATTTTCCGGTAGATAACACTGTAATACACGGGGATTTAGTAACAAATTATTTATTTTCTGCTAAATGTGATCTAAATGATAATTTTACCATTTTGATCAATAAATTAAATGAATGTTAGTAAATATGAAAGCAAAACAACTACAGCAACAATCTCATCACTGGGACCCACCAAGCTGCTTCGACAGAT